TTTGGTTAGGGAATGTGGAAGGGGGCAAACCCATGAAAACGAACAGAAACCAGGAACACTGATCAACTGGCTGCAGGCTGGCGCAAATTCGCAATTTTTATCTCAATAAAGTTACTTCAGACAGACAACACCCGACAGTGTGCGAAGCAAACCTGTGAAGAAGTGGCGCTTTCATGTGTGTGTGTGTGCAAGTGTGCATGCACGCATACGTGGCAAAAAAGTGATAACAGGAAAATATTGGAAATGTCTACAGACTCCATTCCATGGGTTGTGTCAGTACCTTCTGGGAGGCCTACTGCGAGGCCCCGTATCATCTATCGACCAGGTGCCTCGGATTTCAAAGGGTCGTGACGTGTTTCTTCCCAAGCAGTGTGGTCTCTTGCCGGTGTAATTTTTTGATATGGTTATTTAGTAAATGGACATGCATGCGTACATAAACAAAGAAACGGATAAATAGATAAGTATAAACAAATTTAAATACACATGCATTCATGCATACAAGGCATACATGCACACTGTCTACATACCTACCATGCACAGGCAGACATACTGTCAGCATTGCGCGTGCGAAGCCTTGGCGTGTTCCCAATGATCAGGTTGCCGCAGCTTGCTGATGTTTCCTGGTGACTTTTGATGGTAGCTGCATGGAGCTACTGTAGCCAACGTGCATGGGGTGTCCATAACCACAACCAAGCAACTGGTTTCAAATATGTGTAATGATCCATATATGTATATATCACACACACACACATATATATATATATATATCTATACAGTATATATATATACGTACATATGAAACACATATACATATACATATATTTGTAATATGTGTATATATATATATATGATATATTAGCAAATGATTTTGTAAAGTATATATTTTGTTTCCTTTTTGGACATCACTATCTTTGATTGACCGCCACGGCGCTGGGTAGTATTTTCCACCAGCCCATGGCGGTATCAATGCCTAGGTGGCCATGGCCAAGGCACATCAGGTGCTTCTGCCCAACACTCTGCAAGGGGTCAAGGAGGGCAACAAGGTGTTTGGCCGCCTCCGCTCCTCAGCAACACTTCAAAAGAATGAAACAACAATGGGTGCTCTATGGCAATATGCTGCGAAAATAGTTAAAATCAGCTGAAATCTTGGATCATTCAAAATGATGGAAGACCAAATGCATCCCAGAATCACATAATACAACCAAATCTGTGGGTCCCTGCGTACCAAACAATTTGATACTTTTTGAATCGGTTTTAGCGCATTGAGAATCTAATTCAATATGTGATCAACGCAAGAAGGACCCAAATCTAAAACTTGCGCTCCGATGATGGGGACTGATGTTTAGCCGTTTAGCCTCCTGTCCTTTGATGGTCTGAAGTTGAGATGGTGTGCGTTCTGTCATCATAGTGTATGTGCCTGCACAATCCTACAGATGTATGGCAGATTCCCGTATCGTGCAGTCGGTTTGGTGTGTGTGTGAGTGTGCATCAACTTGGTGTTTTCTTTTCAGGGATGATTCACCTGCAACAATACATTGCAGGGGTGCGCCCATCGCCCATCACTAGCTGGATGGCAGTATTGAAAATCTGTTAGACGTGGCGCTGAGGTGATATGGAGGGCTACCCGAGAATCACCAGATGTTTCTGTGAGCTGTCTCGGCGTTTCAGTTTTGCAGACCTACTGTAACATGTAAAATCGACTTATGAATAGAGGTGAAGATGCAGATATACCCTGGAAATCGTTCAGCCGAATATGCGGTCCCTCTCCCATAATCACAATCGGATGATTGTATAAAGAGTAAGAAGAGTTGCATTTTTGCATATATATATATGGCATATATGTTGTTGCTAAAATCCTTTTCAGATGGTCACCACCAGGTGCTCGATGATCCGAGATCATTTGATTTCGGGGTTTGGATTGGTGATTTCCATGACCTGGTGCACAAAAACGAAATCATAAATCAAACGGACTGGATTCGTGTCAGCAAAATATCGACAGTTACACAAGGTGTTTCAGCATTGGTTTTGCACCAGGCATGCTCACCCCAAGTGCTACCGCCTTTTTTTCAGAGGCAAAATAGACACACATGTATGTTTTGAGTATGCAGCTGCGAAACAGGTATGTTTTCAGCGGGATTCGGAGACTGAGGGGAAGGTCATAGCGCTGGACTTATGGTGGATAATGATGGTTGACCATCATGAAGAACATTTGATTGTGTTTGTAAGGCAGATATTAAACAGGCGCATCTAAAACCGGATATACTATAGTTCCAATGGATGATGTTTTATGACAAGTCAATATCATCATATACGTCACATTCGTCGTATTTACCCACAGATCAGTCCGACACCATCAGGTGGTTCTGCGGATGGTACATCCAACCCCTAACATCGCAAGCATGCATACAGGTATGTGTGGGTCAAAATATACAAGGTTCGCGTGGGTACTACCAGACTGGTGTAGATTTTGTGTTCCCGAAGCACACGCAGTTTGTTTGGCACCCCACCACCTCCTTGGAAACACATTTTACTCGACGCAAACCGATTGCAGATTACGAAGACGAACCTGAGCGTTCGGTGATGCCCGTCACACGCGGATAGGCCGTGGAAGCGTAGGCCGCAAAATTCTTCAAACAGTTTTGGTAGCCACCCCCAAATGGGTTATTTACCCTGTATTCATACCAGTACCATTACAGTACTAGCAGTAGGTACCCATGTCCACATGCCACCACTTCTTGGTTCGGGCCTTTTATGTCAAGAGCCATCATCCCATGATCCTTGCGGGAACATGATCATGATCACAACCAACTGGTGCTGCAAAACCTATCCCATGAACGAACTTCAGTGATTTTGACGCTCAAAAACTTGAGAAAAATCTGACGGCCAATGGCTCCGGAGCTGCCTTTGGCGAGCGCCAAAGTGCCTATTTTGGAATTTGTTTCACGTTGCGTTTTGTGATGTTTGACAGGCGGGTTTTGAACCACATATGCATGTCTACATACATATATATATATATATATGTATATATACTATGTGTATATATATATATATTACATACAAAAAATGTACGTATGGTGACATGATTGGTGATTTGATTCACAACGTTGCTGGCACTAAACAGCCTGATTTTCCATCCCCACGAGGATGAAAACAATTCAGAAAAAATGCTCTGGTATGTTCATTGGATGGTCATCCTTTGGTTCACTGCTGCGGCGCATCGAAGCAGTCCCGAGGTTCGCAGTGCCTTACATCTTCATTCCAAAACAACCTGGATTTGGAGTCTGGGGAATGTGGTAGCTCCACCAGTAAACCTCCAGTTGTTCAGACATAGCTCCAGGGTAGCTTCGTTTTTGAACCGTTGATATGTTTTCTTTCCAGATGTTGTTCACTTTTTGGTTATTGTCGATGAAATTCCTCATGCCTGACGTTACAATGAACTTTTCAACTTCCGGGAATTTGACCATGCTCCCCACAAGCACTCTGAGCACTGGTAATCTGGCAATCTTTCATCGGCTCATCGGCCCGTTGGCTCATTGCAATCATTGGAAGAGCCTGGCCCAAATACCGTGATTTTGTGGGGCTCCTTTCATGAGCTGAACATTGTGGACGTGCTGCCAACCCCACAGTAGCAGTAGCAGTAGCAGTAGGAGTAGGAGTAGGAGTAGTAGGAGTAGTAGGAGTAGTAGGAGTAGTAGGAGTAGTTGGAGTAGTAGGAGTAGTAGGAGTAGTAGGAGTAGTAGGAGGAGGAGGAGTAGTAGTAGTAGTAGGAGTAGGAGGGGGGGCCGGCGGGCAGGACGGCGCAAAAATGCACTGCGTTGCTTGGTCATGAAACAAAAACTACCACGCTTATATGGAATTACTGTTTGGGATCTACGGCCGCTGCTTTCTTGCTGTTGGGGATATTCTTTGGGCTTATTTTGGGAAACATTGGACCGTCTCCCATGAAACATCGGACAACAGGGGTTGTATTAGATGTAAAAAAATCATCCCAGTTGGAGTTTGATATTCTTGAAAGACATTGTCAGGTATATAATAAATAGAAAAATCTGAAATCGATAAGTCCAACCAATTTCCAGGTGATTTTATCCAATATTCAATCGACATTTTTTTTTCATGGCCACTATATATTTGTTTTGGGGACTACAATGACTACCTGTTCAACAGGTGGCTTTGGCCCCCAACAGGTTCTTTTGCATGTTCTTTGCAGTCCAGCTGAGTGATCCTGTTGGCTCCGAGCTTCAGTCGAAGAGGTTTTTTTTGGACGGATTAGATAGATAAACATAGATCAATACCATATATCCCGCCAAAAGCGACACTTCCGGCGTTCAGCAAACCTCTAAATTCGTGTTGGTCTCGTTGTGGGGTGAGAGCGCGTTGAGTGGAAAAAAACCTGCAACAAGTACGTTCCTGGTCTTTTGGCCAACGGAACCCAACGGAACACATGCTCCTGCTCCAAAGTCCACAGGCATTTGGCGACGGGCCGGAAATTCTCGGATGCGATCCGTTGCTTGAGTCGTTCTTTCGTTCGGCTGACAGCTGCCAGATTTTTGGAAGTACAATTGGTGGTTTCCTAAAATAGGTGTACCCCCAAATCATCCATTTTATAATAGGATTTTCCATTATAAACCATCTATTTTGGGGTACCCTCATTGGTCATTCATGGAAACCCCCAATTCAGTGTGGTCATTCTTGAATCTGAGCCGCTGATTCCTGGCCTCCATGTGTACTGCAAGCGTGCTCACCCTGGTCTTGTTTGGTTAAACAATCTTCAAGGATGTTAAACGCATAATTTTCCCAATTTCTACTTTAACATGGCATAACTTGGGGTGTACCAAATTTTCAGACACAAAATTTTCTGTGTGCCATGATCAAAAGTTGCAAGAGGTTGTTTTTCATTTTTCCTTTTTCATCGGGATGGTCATCAATCCACATTTTTTTCACAGGAATTTTCCATCATAGCCATGATCGTCATACCACCATTGGTAGGGAAGCAATGCCAGGTCTTGGCATGGCTGACCTGGATATCTTCGGCGGAGGTCAACCCCATCTAACGGACACGAATCATGGACACATGATGATATAGCTAAAAACATGTATCTTATATGAAAATCATGATGAAACAAATGCATCTATTTCACAATACATGACATGACTTTTCTATCCTCTTGATCTTCTTGGTGATTGCTATATATTTGTGTATCCTCCTGGGAATTTTGTGAAACCGTCCTGATTTGCACCACCAGGGCTTTGAGGTATGAATTGAGCGGAAGCAGCTGATATGTCCCATCAATTCATCCAGTTCTGATAGAAGATACATGAATATACAAGAATAGGTGGTTCATGGATGATTATTCCCCCAGTCATGTGGTAATAATATGTGATATAATAGGTAACATGACCCATCCGCATATGCCCTCTGAAAATATGTTACATAGCTATTGAAACAAATGCCATAGAAATAGTGGATTTACCTGACATGGTGATTTTCCATAGCTATGTTAGTTTGCCAGAGGGTACATAAATGGATTCAGTTCATACATACCCATTCTTGGGGAAGGGTTTGCTGCAAGCTCTGTATTCTTCGAGCGCCCAGCTCGTCGCAGGCAGAACCTGAGTTGCGATGGCTTTGGGGCACGCAGGCACATGCAGGGAGCACTGTGGCACTTTCGGCGGAAAACCAGTGGAAAAAACCCCGCACAAATTGCATTTTACCCTCTGGTAAACATACAAAAAACTATGGAAAATCAACATGCTATTAATGGGAAAATCCACTATTTCCATGGCCATTTTCAAGTTCGCAAACTGTTAGTCATTACCAGGCCGGGTAACTGAAAAACTGATGATCAACCACTGGATTTTTGGGCACATTTTCAGACCAATCCAGAAAAACGAAGTGTCAGGAATCAGGAAATGACAGGTGAAGCATTTTGAGATAGTGAAGAATGCAGACTTGCGACATTTTGGCACACCACACCTAGGAAACTTACAACAACCATCAACAACCTCACACCGAGCAAGCTCCCAACAAAGGTCTTATAGATTACTATTCCGACCAAATGCGACCATTGCAGGTGAAATATCAGAAATTGCGCATGGCTATTGAAGCCATGACACCATAGCAATTGGGGCGGGGCGAATGTCCGGAACAACGAAGCTATTTTTGATGTGAAACCGGTGAATTCCATAGAGTCTTGACCCATACTTCAGTAGATTGGATGTGCATCCCAGTTGGGAAGGGGGTTCTTTTTCTTCATTCAGAACCCATCAGAACCCACCCAAGTGGTCACAAGCTTGACAGGTCTTGGCGAAAGAGGTTCCAGAGGCGGATGACTAAGCTTTCAGAATTTCATCCCTTCTCTTGATGGTGCAACATGCAGAAACATGTAGAAGCCCTGGGGGAATGCATTGAAAGATATTGAAAGTGTGAAGATTTCGGGGTATACGACAAAACTGGGGTTATTCTTCGGCATGTGCCTCGCTTGTGCACCTGAGAAATGTCTCGCTTGTGCACCTGGAAATCGTCTCGCTTGTGCACCTGAAAACTTCCACTTCTACCTCTACTTGCACCTCTCTTTCTACTTCCACTTCTACTTCGACTTCCACGTCTACATCTACCACCACCTTTATCTCTACTTCTACTTCTACTTACAATCCCACTTCTACTCCTACTTGCAACATGCGGCTTCTCCACGTCCCTTAAAACTTAAAAACAATATTTTCCATACTACTGAAAAAAATGGAACCAAAAAGTACAGTCCATAGATGTTCATAATTGTTTTTTTTGTGGCAAGCATTGAACGGCTGGGTGTAGCAGCCACAATTTGTCTGGACATAGCATTTCAGAAGCCGGTGCCTGAACGCGGCCCGGGGAGAATTGTTTGGGAAATCAGGTGTTCGATATGTTTGAAACTCATCACATGTTTGAAACAACAAAGATACGGTTGGCAAAGTGCCATGTGTCAAGTTTTCTTGTACAAAACAGATTTTTTCTTTACCATGATGTGGGTTTGAAAAAAGACAATGGCATTGCAAGCTGATGCCCATTCCCTAAAAGCCTTGGTCCGCATCAGCCGCCGCGCAAGTGGCGGTGTCAATGCAGAAAAAACACCGGCGACAGGCACAAGTAGTCTGTGGCTTTTTGCAGGCCGATGGCGACACTGGCACAGTCGGAGAGGAAGTAGATATAGTACAGGTCGAGAAAAGTACAAATAGACCAACAAGTTTTTTTCATCATTCTATGTCATGGACAATTTGGTGATGGCCTGACACTGTCGGTTCAGGATGATGAATTGTTGTTCATATTACATAAATGCCTATGCGAAACGTGTAAAATTATAATAGCAATAAGCACTTATCCTGAAAGATCACTGCCTGTGTCAAGAAAGATGATGAGGTTGCTGTGCCTGTGGGTGCACGGGAACATGAACGTTATTATCCCACCCCACCCCACCCCACCCCACCCCACCCCACCGGTCACTTATCTTGAAAGATCACTGCCTGTGTCTGCAGGACAGCAAGAAAGATGATGAGGTTGCTGTGCCTGTGGGTGCACGGGTGCCTGTGGGTGCACGGGAACATGAACGTTATTATCCCACCCCACCCCACCCCACCGGTCACTTATCTTGAAAGATCACTGCCTGTGTCTGCAGGACAGCAAGAAAGATGATGAGGTTGCTGTGCCTGTGGGTGCACGGGAACATGAACGTTATTATCCCACCCCACCCCACCCCACCCCACCATCACTGCCTGTGTCTGCAGGACAGCAAGAAAGATGATGAGGTTGCTGTGCCTGTGGGTGCACGGGAACATGAACGTTATTATCCCACCCCACCCCACCCCACCCCACCATCACTGCCTGTGTCTGCAGGACAGCAAGAAAGATGATGAGGTTGCTGTGCCTGTGGGTGCACGGGAACATGAACGTTATTATCCCACCCCACCCCACCCCACCCCACCCCACCATCACTGCCTGTGTCTGCAGGACAGCAAGAAAGATGATGAGGTTGCTGTGCCTGTGGGTGCACGGGAACATGAACGTTATTATCCCACCCCACCCCACCCCACCCCACCATCACTGCCTGTGTCTGCAGGACAGCAAGAAAGATGATGAGGTTGCTGTGCCTGTGGGTGCACGGGAACATGAACGTTATTATCCCACCCCACCCCACCCCACCCCACCCAACCACCCCACCACACCTAGGTGCGCAAGTGAGTGATTTTCCAGGTGCGTAAGTGAGTGAATTTCTCAGGTGCGCAAGTGAGTGAATTTCCAGGTGCGCAAGTGAGTCACGTCCCTTATTCTTCAGTTGCACGGAATGAACTTTTACGAACCCAGAACTGCATGAGGACTTTAGCTGTTGTGCACCCGGAATGCAGCTGCAACACGGTCCGACAATTCACAACTGTAGGTTTTTTTCCTTGATGGATTCCCATATGGATTCCCCATGGTGAATCCCAGACAGATTCTGTAGGCGGCCGAGTTGAATCAACAGATCAGTGCTTACTTGCAGCTTGGCTTACCATGGTGCTATCGCCATGATTCGCCGGCCATGGTCACTTAAGCGTTTCAGTGCTGATTTGTTGTTTCCACGGTCATAAAGGGTTGGTGAAACTTGAACAACCTACATGAAACCATGGCAATTTTTATTGCCCTTACATAGAGGAGTTTACTGAGTTTGCTGTGAATTTTCCCACGAAAAACTTCGAGGCTGAACTTGTCGCTGCACGAACCTCCAGAGATCCGCTCCAATCGCAATGGAGCCTGGCAGTCCAGGTTGCTGTGGACCGTGGAGTTCAGGGATGATTTCGGTAGGTTTTTCGCTGGAAAACTATGGAAAACTCGTTGGATTTTGACCGCAACACCGGTGGTTTAATGAAGACAATGGGAGCCGAAAAATGTGGTAGAAATGGGATAAACATGGTAGTTTACTTGGAACTTGACCAGCAAAAGTGGGCTCAAAAAATGGAGGAGCTCCCAAGTCATCAGTTGATATCAGTTGTGTCCGCCACTTCGACCAAGAGTTGTTGGAATGATCCAGTTTTTGCCAGGAATAAGAAGTTTCTGGATTTCAAGGTGCGGCCTTTGTTCTTTTCCCCGCCAAAGTCAGATCCGCAGAGTAGGCCAAAGCACAGAGGTGTGACCATAGGTGGGTCTGAAAATAGGCTGCCCAAATGGTAATTTTGTATAGTGAAAATTAAAATGATGACGCATTAGATTCTGGGCACTATTTCTTGGAGGAAACAGTGTTACAGATTGTGATGATGCTTGTAACGAATGACGTCGAAGCTTTGGCTCAATTAGCAAACGGATACAACAGATAGCTGACGTTAGCTCCAGGGGCTAAGACCTTGACTGAATCGACTGACAGCTCGAAGCTGGAACATTCTGGATGCCCGCAACTTGTCTGCACACAGCAAGAAAAACTACATTTTAAGGTAATGTTAGTAAAGCCATAGGGTCCACTATCCCCAAATTTACAATTTTTATAGGTGGTACAAGCCATTTAAATATGGATGGTTTATATAATTTATATATTATTGCTGTGCCAACATGACCTTATTTTCAGACAAAAAGGTGCCGAGGCGTTTTTTGTGTGCCTGCGTGAACCGTTAGCAATTGCATTATAGCTAATAAGCTTTAGCTTGGGGGGGGCATTTTTGCTCTAGAATCCTGTGTTTTTGCATGTTTTTTAAAAGGGGTCAAAATTCTTGATCTGGGCCAATATAGGCCAAAAATGGGTCAAGATAGGCCCAACATAGGCCCAACATGAGCCTAAGATAGGCTCACATGGGGCCAACATAGCCTCAAATGGGGCCAACATACCCTCATATGGGGCCAAGATAGCCTCATACGGAGCTAAAAAGTGCCCAATAAGTGCTAAAAAAACGTTCAATATGGCCAAACATCCTCCAACATATGTGAGTGTTATCCATTACCCTTGGTGCGGGCGGTTTTCGTCGCCAAGCGACCGTGAATATGGATGGTTTATATAATTTATATATTATTGCTGTGCCAACATGACCTTATTTTCAGACAAACTCATGTGGCGTTTTCACCGCGGTGCCATAGACGAAATAGAGTGTCTACATGGCAGCCCTAACATGTGCCATGTGAGCTGTGTACCGTTCAGAGTAGATTTCCATGGAACACTGGTTGGTGGTGACTGGAACATGGCTAAATATTTTCCCCATCAGATTGAGAATTTCATCATCCCAACTGACTTTCATATTTTTCAGAGGGGTAAGTATACCAACCACCAACCAGTATGTATATATATATATGTATATATATATATGTATGGAACATCACCATTTTCAATGGGTAAATCCACTATTTCGACTGGGCCATTTTCCAGTTCGCTATGTAACAGAATCATCAATCCACTGGTCATTCCGCATTTTTCATTCCATGGTCCCAGACTTGGAGGACCATGAAAAAAAAATCCAAGACAATCCAGGAATTGGGACTAACAACTTAGATGTGCATCTCAGCTAGCAAGTGGTTTAGAAGCCATGTAGTAAGTATATATATATATGTATTATATATATATATGTATTATATATATATATGTATTATACATATGTATTATATATATATATATATGTATAATATATATATATATGTATAATATATATATATGTATTATATATATATGTATAATATATATATATATATATGTATAATATATACAATATATAATATAATAACAATATATATATAATATATAATATAATATAATATAATATAATATAATATAATAATACATATATATGATATAATACATTAATGATAATAATAATAATAATAATATATATATATATATAATAATAATATATATATATATAAATATATAATAACTGGTGGTATTCCGTACATCCCAAGCCGCCAAGGCCTACGTGCCACCACACCGCCGCGGCGCAGCCGCTGTGGCGGAGGCTGCCACGAACTCAGATTTTCTGGCTGAGGATAGCAGGGAGTAGGGAGTAGTGGTAGAACCACCCAAAAAATGGTGGATCCCTGAAAGAACTATGGAAAAAAACATGAGCAAAACATGAAAAAACTTGGAGTAAGAAACCAGCGCCAATGGTGATTGATTGGGATTTAACTTGGGATTTGATCATATTTATGGGCTATATATATATATGGTCATATGGGGATGATATAGGCCTTTTTTTTACCACTACTTGGAGGATCACCAGGGTTATTAACCACTTACTAAGCTTCCATAGCTATGTTAGTTTACTGGAGGGTAGGATTCCCAGCCATAGGATTCCCAGTGATTTTTATCAAGAAATTAATTGGGTTTTTTATTCCACATCATCAACCATCAGGGCTCAAATGAACACAGTGTTCAAATGGAATCCTGGATTTTAAACCAGTGATTTCATCTCCTATGGAGAATGTTTAGTAACTATGGACATCTATGGACAATCATGTTCAATACTTAGTTACTAAACATTCTCCATAGCAAAATGACATCACTGGGACCGGGCTTCCAATTTTTTCCGCTTTCCGTGATGGCTTGGGATGGCTTGGGATGGTGAACCATGGTGAAGCGCAGACATTGCCAAGTCTCAACAGTTTCCCTCTGGTTACCCTCTGGTAATTTAACAGTTTGCTATGGAAAATGGCCATTTATAGTGGATTTTCCCATTGAAAATGGTGATTTTCCATAGTTATGTTAAATTACCCATCTATCAGGGGTTGGTTTGCCTGTCCCATTTTGGCAATATAAAGGACATCACCTGAAATAGTAGCCATGGCATTGACCATATACCATTCATGGTTGGGTGATGTGAAAAATGGGGACATTTAATGACCCTCTGGTTAACAGTTTGCGAACTTGAACATGACCATAGAAATGGTGGATTTACCCATTGATAGCACGCTGATCTTCCATAGTTTTTTGTATGTTTACCAGAGGCTATTTGATATTCATGGCTGCACATCCAGTGGTCCAGGGCGGCCGGTGTTTTTGAGGTAGAAAAGGATCTCCTGAATGGCGCAGATGGGGGTCCTGTCAAGAATCTGCTCGATACGGTGCCGGTTGCGCCAGGGCTGGTTCTATCGGTGCTGTGCGGTCGAGAATTGTAATGACCTCAACCCGACGCCGTAGTTTTTTGGCGAACCTGGCGAAAATGGATAAAGCCATCATCCTAAGGATTGAAATGAGTAATATATAGTAATATTACATAGTGATAGGAACACCAAACAATCCCCCAAAGTAGTCTTGTCACATCATCACTATATTGCAAATAAGGGGTTCTGTCTTTATTTCCAGTTTGTTCTTGAGAGGTTTGCTGGGGACCTCAAGCACAGATGTGGCCACAATCTCCGGGAAAGGACCCATATTTTCAGCCCAGTGTTTGCCACTTCCGTGTAGGGACTTCGCATTTCTGTCCTTCTCTCCATCTTATAAAGTTATAAAGCGACTCTTTGCGGAGAGATTCTATCAGATCTTGGTTGATAAACAATTTTGAAGGCACTTGAGATTTACGTGTCTTGCAGCAGAGGTTGTTCCAGCCCAAGGTCCACCTGCAGTGATGGTCCGCCACCACCTGCAAGTGGGGTATAAAGACCCAACCACTAGAGGCCCTATCTATCCACCAAACAGTGTTATGTGGAGATGGGTCAAAACCTTGTACCCCCGGTGAACCTCAAAATAGCTGGTAAATGGATGTTCATCACCCTAAAAATGGTACTTATAGGTATTGATCCATAGCCACGTATACCCAATAATAGCAGGGAGCAGGGCCAACAGCATCCGCTTGTCAGATGAAGAATGGGCATGACGGAAAGCGCGAGAGGTGGGCCAACATTGATGATGAAGCAGAGTGGCTTGGCATAGCACAGGCACATCGAAGAGTAGGGCTTGTCCACATAAACCACGATTCCGCAATATATCATAAATATATCCCCATCATATCCCCATCATGGTTGGTGAAAGATCATTCAATCACCACTATTTTGATGGTGACTCGGCCCATCTGACTTCTTAGACAGGTGGGATCTCCGCATCTGTGTGCACAGCCATCTGCAGAAGCAGGAAGAAAAAGGTCAATATAGACGGGAAACTGCGAAATGCCATGGAATGAAAAAATCAAAACCACATTTTCCCAATAAACATTGCAATTACAGGGTATCTCCAGTTTGACACAAGCCAATCTTTGGTCATGAGCGTTCGCTCAGGGACGACATCGTGAAAGCCAGCCCAGGTTCGGGACGAGCTGGTTAGGATATGTTAGGATTGAAGTTATAGCAACTGGTCAACAGGATGATTGTAATTGCAGTAATCCAACATTTTTCACCTCACCCCACCAGCATTTCTTTTCAGGAAAGACTCGAAGCAAGTCAAGTCACCACATGGCCACATCTTTTTTGTGGAAGCATCATGGACATCCTTGATGGGCTCAAGATATCTTGACTGGTTGGTAGTTTGGAACATGGCTTTTATTTTTCCATTCAGTTGGGAATTTCATCATCCCAACTGACTAATATTTTTCGGAGGGGTGGCGAAAAACCACCAACTTCAGTTGAAATTCGTGAAGAAAACCCGGTGATTTCTCCATGAATCAGGTCCTGCAGCGGTGAAGAAACAGGCCTACCGTCCACCAGGTGCCAGGCGCGACCCGACATCACCCGACATCGACATCGAGCCGCTGCCAGTTTTATGGTGCCAGATAAATAGCTTTTAATAAAGATACCCAGCATCCAGCATGATATTTATATAAGAACTATTTATATGGATTATATGCTATCTTTTCTCTACTATTTCTGTGTTTTAATTGTGTGTAAATAGAGGTATTTACCTCCCATTTGTACCCTTTCGAGTGTCCTCTGTGGGAAAACGAGCAACCCTTGCATGTTAAATATATATATATATATAGATACACATACAGATATGGTTTATCTTCTAGCCATCAACCAGTGGTATTTTACCACGAGAACTTGGAATCTTGCCAATCAACATGGAGTAACCGCCTTAGTTTCCAGTGTTTTGCAGATGGCTTGAGGATTGAAGTTAACTAAGAAGTGAATCTAGGGGTTCCACACTTGAACAGACCGGATACCAGGATACCATGGATCGAGTCAGTTGTGATCTGATCCAATTGCCCTTCCTGCCCGGTAAGGAGCAGAGGCGATGGCGACAATGCACGGCTCCCGGAGATTGCGCTGGGAATTTCAGGAATCAACTTTGGGTCAATAGTCGGATAGGTCAATAGCCATGATACCTGTAATCAAAGTATTCTACTTACATCAACAAGAATTTTTAATTTTGATGTACTTAAGTATTTTCTCCGGAACTGAGATTTGGATAGATTCTGTTTTTTTTTTTGTGTTGTCTCAGAATTAGAAGGGGAGCCAGATCACAACGGAACGGATTAAAGCCATTCAAATCCACAACTTCGATCACCGAAGTGATGACCACTGGAACAGTGGTCGAAGTGGGCCTACTTACGAATGGGATACCCGGCCTGGTTATGACCAACAGTTCGCCATGGTATAGATGGCCCATTTATTTATAGATGGTTTACCTATTAATAGCATGGTGAATCTTTCCATGGCGCCCTGGCAATGTCATAACCAGACGGTAACTCCAAGAACAGGCTGACAGGGGACGTGCCGCAGTGCCATGGCAATTCTCGGTGATTCCTGTCAGGTGAATTTCATCCGGGACATCATGAATGACTTTGACACCAATGCCCAAGGAGAGACGTGTGTGTGAAATGGACCGAGACGATGGGGTGTTACATGTTAGGATTCTTGGGATTACCTACAGAAATGGGGATTTTTTCATGACATACCCTCTATTGGTGGCTGAAACTAGAAATATGGTGACCGGTTTTACTGGAATCAGTCCCTCAACCATAAGGTTTGGCCCGAGGAGACCCACCATTGATATCCACTGGTCACATGGTCACATCATTTGTGTAGTGGAAATCTGTTTCATTGCCGCCGCAGACCGGTAAACTAAGAGTTTGCTATAGAAAATCACGATATCGTATAGGGTAAATCAACTATTTCTATGGCCATTTTCAAGTTCGCAAACTGTAACAAATTACCAGAAGGTATATGCGGATGGGTCAAGTTACCTATGATATCACATATTATTGCCATATGCCACCTATTCTGAGCCTGTTGCTGAGCCTCTCAGGCTGGGGCAATGCCGCCCCAGCGCTGACAGGAAAGGAGGTGGGACCGGCCGAGGATTCGGGCATCTTTATCATCCCTCAATTTCTGCATTTTTGAGATATCTTTTGATGGACGATTTCCACTGATGTCCGATTTTTTGAGATATTTTCTGTTCAATGATTTTCAGAGATTTCATGATTTTTCCTATGTTCTTCCCATGTTTTTTCCATTGTTTTTCCATTGTTTTTTCCCAGATGTTCCCATCTTTTCAGGGCCAAAAATTGGATCTTTCGGATCGCGGGAGTTCCGTTGCCAGGTGGGAGGCAACGAGACCGATCTCACAGAGGTGGGACCAGTGCTTCGATGAATCTTTAGGATTCCATAGGCACATGTGTATATACATGTTACATATGTATATATATATATACACTATATATATATATAAATAGATGAACATGATAATAATAATAACACCATTTTTTAAATAATAGTAGACAGAATGATATTATGAAAATAGTAATGATGATATATTTCATACATGGCAGCAGGGGTTGATATTGTCCATTAATCTACTTATGTGATTCAGAAGGGCATAGCACATACCCAGAAAGCACAGCAGTGCAGGCCCAAGTGCGTGGCGATGGCGAGGCTGGTGAAATCTGTTTTGTTTTTTTCTCTGAGGGGATCATCTCAGTCTCATGGACCATCTCAATTGGGTTTATCTATGTTTATCTCAAACATGAGGTATCTGCAGATTGGAGTTTTTTCTCGAATTTTTCAGGTGAATGGGTATGAAAGATATTTCAACATATCCATCAGTTAAATGGTAAACTAATGGTAAATGATGACCACGAATGGGTAAATAAAATGGGTACCCTCTGGTTATGACTAACATAGCCATGGTATAGATGGCCCATAAAAATAGATGGTTTACCTATTAATAGCATGGTGAATCTTTCCATGGCTATGTGTGTGAGTCATAACCAGATGGTAAAAGATGAGTCACATCTCACAGCCATGGATCTTGAGGTGCCGAAGCCCTTCACCACGTCGCGCGGCAGAAGTTGGCGTTTGAAAAATATATGGGGTTTTCATACGAGAAAAGTTGGGCAAAAGATGACATCTGAGGGTTTAATATCATCTAATATCAATATATCAATATGGGTTTCATATTGAAAAGTATCATCTAATCATCATTTGTGGGTTGATCATGTGTTTGATACTTAGTTACTTAGTTTTCAACACAAAGGATGATTTTCTCAAGCAAACATTGATGGGGAATTCATGGGGAGTTCATTAGGAAATCAGGTGGCGGTTGATTGCCCAAGTTTCCCAAAGTAGACCATCAATTGAGGCTTTTCAGGTGTCCCTTCTGCAAGCACATTTGAGGTCTCTTGTTTGATGGCCACGGTTGACTCACCGGTCATAACTTTTTATTTTTGGTAGCCCTTGAAGGGCAAGGGTGCTGATCCCAGATTCAATGGTATTTTTCATTTTTCAGGATTTTTCTTACTGGTGCGTTTTACGTAGGGTTGCTGGATGGGTTGCTGGATGGGTTGCTGGGGGTTGCTGGGATGATCATTACTAGTGATGAAATGGATCATTCCCTCATTCCCTGCTAAGCACCAGTACGCACCAGTAAGTTTTTCAGTTTTTTTCTATGGGATTTCAGGCCCAGCTTTCACGATGACCGAGGTTCAACAGCTGTGGCTTTCCCAAGCCCATCATGGCCACGCTGTTCTCCCTGGGTTTTGCCGCCCCAACCCCTATCCAGGTGGGATTGAGAAGCCATCTGGGTATGAAAACATTTTAAGCTCCAACAAACCACAGCTTTTCTGTTTTGTTTTCTTTTTTGTTGGGTATTTTGAAAAACCATCACAGTTTTTGACCCAACTTTGCCAGATCCGCTTGTGGCCGCAGCCTTGATTTCGGGTCACGGAAAACCAGGCGTACTGCTGGCCCGTGGCCGGTGGTGGACGCGATGTGGTGGGCATTGCAAAGACGGGCAGCGGGAAGACTCTAGCGACTTGCTGATCATCCCATCAGTTCGTCCCCCTGTGGATGGCTCATGGTGAAATCCTATGGTTTATCCCATGGAAAACCCATGGTTATCCCATCTATAAATGGGTGAACTGTTACATGAACATCATGAACTCACTATGATAGTTTATGGTTATGAAGATGTTATGAATTATGAAGCAATTACGAAGTGGGACGATTTTTCAAGTAGGAACAATGCGGTATAAATACCGCCACTTAAAAGCCAGCTTACAACCCTGTTCACCGTTGGAGCATGAAGGGTCTTGGGAACCCCAAAATTTGATGGTTCCTTTTTCATTCTCCATAATTTTCCATAATTATCCCGAATCACACATATCAAAGCAATCATCATTTTCCCGAAAAAATCATGATATATATATATATATACATACATAATATCCCTATTGAAATAGCACAAAGCCATTTTGGGTGGTACACTGTACCTGTTTGTTCCATGTTCGAGGCATTTCTTCTGCCGCCCTTCACCACCTTTTTGGGAAGTCGACCTGGATATGGACCCAACATGTCGCTGGGCGAAGGCCAAGGCATGCCAAGGCGCTGCGCCAAGGCCTTTCGAAGGCCTTGGGTCAGCTTGATATGGTATTGTGTTTATAATACATATATATATACATACAGTAATTATAATGGGATATGACATGTATATATATATATATATATTATATAGATATATATACGTATCATATAATGGGATATGATATGTATATATAATTATACATCATAATGGGATATGTGTATGTATGTATGTGATGTATGTGATGTGTATATATATATATAATGAGTATAATGAGATATAGTGATATAATGGATTTTTTTTTTTTTTATCAATCTGCTTCATATCATGAAGTGACATTCCTAGGATATTGCTATGTACATATACATGGGGAATTTCCCTGCAAATAGAGGCTTTACCCTCTGGTAATTTAACATAGCTATTGAAAATGGCCATTTATAGTGGATTTTCCCGTTAAAAATTGTGATTTTCCATAGCTATGTTAAATTACCAGAGGGTAATGGGAAAATCATCTGATGAATTTGATCATGACCTATGACCTCGCGTGACGTCGGAATGATGCTTGGGATTTGGGGAATCATCTCCAGCATAACTGACATAACTATTGAAAATGACCATAGAAATAGTGGATTTTCCCATTAATAGCATGGTGATTTTCCATAGTTATGGGACAGTTTGCCAGAGGGTAGTGAATTACGATAATTCAACCAGATGTATGATTATCCAAGTAAAAATCCTGGGATATTCCATAACATTTTCAAGTTTGAATGTTGACACAGTCATGAGTTTCTCGTGGGGAGTGATCTGGAGTCCAGTGTTGTTTCACCGAGGTTAGTTATGGCGCCCACGCGTGAATTGGCATGTCAGATTCAGCTGCTTGGATGAAAAAAACACTTCACCATTTTTGGAGTCTGTTTTGTGATAGCGGCGTTCGCGAGTTTTGGTCGATTTCTCAGAGGAATACAAGGGGGTGATGGTCATGACAAATATCAACTTAGTGGATTTGTTGCTCCATGGACCAAACCCCTGGGTTGCTGGGGAAATCCACATTACTCATGGAAAAAATCAGGTCCAACTAATTCTTATTTTGTCTAATCCACATTATCCACATTATTTACTGGACAATCTTTCACTAACATCCCAGAAATGGATGATGGGAAGACATTATTATTGGAGGTATAAAGAATTATAAATCGAGCTTTCCCCTCAAAAAATATCATGAACAAAGCCATTGGAAAAACGAGTAGCTGCTACAGCCCCATCTGATCCGCAACGCCATCCGCAGCGCAGCGCAGGCTCGAAGCAGAACGCTTTGGCAAACGCGTAGGTGGAACCAAGGGAACCTCGAAAGCGGTGTTGGAATGTCACTGATCGTTTCGAGCTATTCCTGAAGTCATCATCATGGTGGGAAATCATTCCTGTATCGATTTGGGTGGGGATCTTGATGCTCCAGGTGCTTTTGAAGGGCTTCAAACGCAAGCTTTCATTGGTTCAATACTCATGTTGTGTGTTAATTAAGTGGTTTTGTACGCACCAAAAAGATCCAAAAAGAACAGAGGTCCTATCCCATTTCTATCCATGGGATAGCCCGGTTCTCAGCTACAAATGGGTCGACATCATCAGTATACCATGGTACACCGCCCTCAAACTTTCACACTTTGCACCAGTTCCCATCCCCCAGCCCATCAAAAATCACCAGCAGCTCCATAAATCACCAGAAGAGTCCCCAAAAATGAATCCACTTAGTAAGCTGTTGATTTATATTCTGGATTCATGGAATGTTACTAAGTGGAATACTATGATGAATATCCAGACAAGTCCACTTAGTATTCCACGGTAGTAAGTCATCCGAAGAAATCGTCATAGATCCCACTGAATTTTCTTCGGAATCCCACGGTGCCACGGGGTGCCACCGAAGGTGCCACCGAAGATCTTCGAGTCGTGTTCGATGGGATGATCCTGGATAAGCCATATTTTTTTCATCAAATCCCAAGTTAGATCCCAATTAAAATCATCCATTATTGAATTTGTGTTATGGTTTGTTTAATAATTTAATCCATGTGATGTGTTGGTTTGATGTTTGTTTATCCCAAGTTTTGATGTTTTTCTGGTTGTGTTAAACTTCACAGTTTTTCGGGGATCCATCACTCCGCGTTGCGCCAGGCATTTACTCGGTCTGCGTCTACGGTGGCGCGCCCAGGGGGCCCCAGCTTCGTGAGCTGCGCGCGGGAGCACATCTGGTTGTAGGCGCCTGGGAAATCCTCATAGCTGGGAATGCTGGGAGAATTTTTCGAGAATGATGGATTTTAATGGATTTTATACTATATAGATTTTCCATTTCGGGATGTGACTTTGATAATTAATTCTGATAATTACTATGATTTATCATCATCTATGATAATAGTATGAAAGATACCCTCATGGTATGATTGTTGGAGGAAAATCCAGAAGTATCTAATCATGGATACCCTCCATGAACATTCTTGAGATTCCACTTTGCAGGAACTCCTGGTCGGTTGAACGACTACCTGGAGGCGGGGATGGTGCAAAACCTGTGCATCCAAAAGAATGAGAGCCACAAGAAAGGCAAAGGTCCAAAGGTGTCCAAAGGTGTCCAAAGGTCTTGCTCATGAATCCTGAGGATTCATGAGGATTCCTGAGGTTCATGTTTAGTAAACCATATCTCCATATCTGAGAATCTGCTGGAGATCCAGCCCCAAATCCCAATGCCCAGCAATGCTGCAGGGTGGAGAATTGACACTTGAGAACTGCAAGAATCTGGTTTTGGATGAGGTGCCCAGGGCCCAGGGCGCCCAGGGCGGGGAAATCTGTCGCCCAACCCTAGCCCCACGACCTCGCATTCGCCAGGCAGATCGCATGTTAGACATGGGTTTCGAGCCACAGTGCCTTGGTTACCGGGATTTCCCCTCAATCGCAGCACGCTTTTGCAAAAGAACACACATATGGCTATGGATCAATACCTATTAATACCATTTTTAGTGGGATGAACATCCATTTACCAGCTATTTTGATGTTCACCAGGGGTACCAGGTTTTTGACACACTGCCATATGATGTGTTGCTTCATACTGGCTGAGTGTGTTGGGTTGCGGGTTGCCAGTTGACATCACTCCATCTCAGGAGACCAACCTCTGGCAGCACCCAACTATCGCCATCCAAATGTTTGAAGATATTTGCTGGTGAAATACCATCTGGTAATCAAGCATAACCATGCAAAATCCACCAACTTATGCTTATTCTCCCCAGCTTTCAACATTCATTTATAGAGGGTTTTCTCATTAAAACCTCCATTTCTAGTGGATTTCCCCTGCATTTTCCCTGCTGTTTTTTCCTATCAACACATCCATTTTGAATGGTGATTTTCCGAGCTCAGGATTCGCACCTTGATCAAAGCCATTCCGAGGGATCGGCAGACCATGATGTTCAGCAGCTCGTTCTGAATGGGACTCAGAACCGCTTTTTTTTGTCTCAAAAAAAGGGCAAGAAAAATCCCAGAAAAAGGGGATATTTATGGGAATTTACTCAATTTACTCCCAGAAAAAGGGGAAATTTATGGGAAGTTACTCAATTTACTCCCAGAATTCATGGTCATTTGAATGGGGAAAATGATAGGATTCGATGGGGAACATTGCACTTTTCATGGGGAAAATGATGGATGATGTTTTTCACAATGGGATGGAACTTTGTTCCACATATTGAGACAAGCCAGTTTGTGCGTGGTGAGAGGCATTTCATGAAGCGCTCTGTTAGGACAACCCAGAGACATCTAGGATTTGTCTGTATGATTTACTGATTTTGATGTCCAATGGGGTCCATTATTTTGACAGACTTCCAAATTTGAGGATCTTGAGAGCTGCCAAAGGTTACCCGGCCTGGCAAACGTTTACAGTTTGCGAACTTGAAACTAGCCATAGAAATAGTTGATTTACCCATAAAAAATGGTGATTTCCCATAGTTATGGGACAGTTTACCAGAGGGTAGGATTTCCTCTCCAGGCGCTACGTGGCCAAGAGAGGTGAGAAATTTGGCGCAGGACTACCTGCATCGACCGGTCTCTTGGAGCAAGTTGGCTGGTGACGTGAGTGACGTGGCTCAAGATGTGACAGGATCGTTCAACAGAGATCAGATCATTCTTGATTCCGCTGTGGTTTCAAGTGTTGATCTTCAGGTATGGATCAATACCTATGAAAATACCATTTTTAGTGAGGTATGGATATTTGGGTATTGATATGGTGAACTTCCCATTTATGGGTATTGATCCATCAATAAATACATATGTTTCACATCCATAAATCCCAGCTATGACTTGATGTGTTCACTACAGGTGATTCAGGTGATTCGACAGCTGAGGTTTACATCCAGATTGGTTCCCACGAGGTACCGAATCGCTGGGACCACATGGCTAGCTGTGTTTTTTGAATGCTTCGCGATGGATTAATATTGATGGATTCAGAATGATGATCTGGGGAGTCTTAAAACCTAGTACTATTACTATAGTTACTATCATATGACTGGGTGGGTTATTCATGGTTATTCACGTCCATGAACCAGCTATTTTAGGGTTTCTAGGGCCATATTCCGGGATATTCTGACACTTTTCATGGCTGTGACTTGGATAGGGCCATAGGGCCATGGTGACGCCTCTGGTCAAGTCGCTTCCAGGCAACGGCCAACAAGGACATCACACAAGAAGTGGTGATCTGCAGTGGTCAGAGAGAGAAGTCAGAGAACCTCTTAGTGACTCGGTCGAAAAAAAAAATCTGAGAATGAGGTCCTTAAATAGCCCTTTTTTACTCGGAAATATGATCATAAACTATATGATAAACTGATAAACCATGATTTTTTTTTCTGGGATCCATTTTCAGACCCCATTGAAAAATGAATTGGAACCGCCATTTCGACAGGGAACACGGTTGGTTTTTTACAACAGTTGACCAGCAGCAATTCCTGTCAGGAAATTTTGACGAAGATTGACCGCGCTGCTCCTGGGATGCCAGTGGGCCATTGATTGGAGGATTCTGTGGATTACCCTCTGGTAATGACTAACATAGCTATTGAAAATGGCCATAGAAATAGTGGGGTAATGAGTTACATAGCTATTGAAAATGGCCATAGAAATAGTGGATTTTCCCATCAAAAACGGTGATTGTCCATAGCTATGTTAAATTACTGGAGGATTCTGTGGATTAGTTGGATTAGTGGCCCACTAATAGCTGAGTGCTGAACAATTTCCCACATTGGCCAAGCAATCGCCATTTTTTTAACTAGCCGACTAGGGGACTTAGAGTGGCGAGTTGCTGCACCATTTCGAGGTAGCCCAGCATTGCAGTGGAAAATCCATGTTGTTTTGATTCTTCTTCCTGAAGCAGAGCAGGAAAGACAGGATCATATCTGAATCGTCTGTTAAGATCTGAATTTGGCGGAATGACAAAAATCAGCAGAAACTATATTCATCCCCAAAAAGATAGACAAGTAAATCCCCATTTATTTAGTGAAGATTCGCTTTTCTATCTTTTTGGGTACTATAAAGATTGGAAAACCAATCGGTTTCCGGGTTTTCTCATGGACCCCATCTATCCAAGGAGCGCGTGATAGTCTTCACCAACACCAAGAAGTCCCTTGGAGCTGCGAATCTCTCACCGAAAGAGCATCATCTGGGTCATCAATCCATCTATCTATAAATTATAAATTAGTCTATAAATACATATTTAACCCATGATATACCATGATCAGTTTTCCCATGATGGGATTTATATAGGGGTTTCCAAGATATTTTATAATTTGGTATATTTAACCATGATAAGGATTCCCATTATGGGATGGATGACCATACCACATATATGCATTTGTTTGGTCATTTTCCCGGGCAAAAATTGGTGCTACCAACCAGCAATACGGGGAGACCGGCCAGGGGACAATCACTTCCGGATATGGTTTAGTAGATTTGGGGATGGAACTATATGTTCTTTAGGCAAACATGTTTGAACAAAAACCAAATGATTGGGGGACTATTTGAATATCAGTGCTAAAAACTGGGTTTTCATTGAATATCAGTGCTAAAAACTGGGTTTTCATTGAATATCAGTGCTAAAAACTGGGTTTTCATTGAATATCAATGCTAAAAACTGGGTTTTCATTGAATATCAGTGCTAAAAACTGGGTTTTCATTGAATATCAGTGCTAAAAACTGGGTTTTCATTGAATATCAATGCTAAAAACTAGGTTTTCATTGAATATCAGTGCTAAAAACTGGGTTTTCATTGAATATCAGTGCTAAAAACTGGGTTTTCATTGAATATCAATGCTAAAAACTAGGTTTTCATTGAATATCAGTGCTAAAAACTGGGTTTTCATTGAATATCAATGCTAAAAACTAGGTTTTCATTGAATATCAGTGCTAAAAACTGGGTTTTCATTGAATATCATGCTAAAAACTGGGTTTTCATTGAATATCAATGCTAAAAACTAGGTTTTCATTGAATATCAGTGCTAAAAACTGGGTTTTCATTGAATATCAATGCTAAAAACTAGGTTTTCATTGAATATCAGTGCTAAAAACTGGGTTTTCATTGAATATCAATGCTAAAAACTAGGTTTTCATTGAATATCAATGCTAAAAACTAGGTTTTCATTGAATATCAGTGCTAAAAACTGGGTTTTCATTGAATATCAGTGCTAAAAACTAGGTTTTCATTGAATATCAGTGCTAAAAACTGGGTTTTCATTGAATATCAATGCTAAAAACTGGGTTTTCATTGAATATCAGTGCTAAAAACTGGGTTTTCATTGAATATCAATGCTAAAAACTAGGTTTTCATTGAATATCAGTGCTAAAAACTAGGTTTTCCAGAGATTCCAGAGTATCTAAACAGTTTATTGGGCCAAGTCTGGCATGCCCTGATTGGATCTGATTGGATCACCTGGATTGGAGGCTTTGCGAATCCTTAGCCTCGGAACTGTGGAGCAGCCGAATCCATTGTGTGACCATCCATGGCGACAAGGAGGGTCCAGGGTTCAGGGCCTCCAGGCTCCGATTTCATGGTGCTGCAATTTTGACCTGTAGCCATGTAAGGAGGCGAAAAGCCGAAAAGCATGTCACTCATCTTACTTTGAAATCAATGGGTTGTCTAGTGGAATCCATGGGTTTCCTTAGTGGGCCTCCTAATGACTCTGAACGGCGGAACTGATGGAGGCTTCTAGAAAATCTAAGACCCGCCAATTTGTTGACCCATGGCTTTTAACATGTTTCAACACAAAGCAGTCGGAGGGAGTAAATGTGTTGCCATCTTCATCCATCTTCCCTTTCCATATGGGTATGAGTCAAAATTGGGTACCCCAACAGTTAGATGGCTAATACTAAGAATAGGCTAAAATCTGTGGTCAAAATTGTCTTCAATTTTGACCCATTCCCATATCAAAATGCAGCTTTCGAATTCCTGGGATCCCATCCATCATAGAACTGGATGATGGGAAAATTTTAACCGGAAAGCCCAAACAATTTGATGGTAAAAACCATGGTTTCCTGTAAAATTTCCCCAACAAACCAATCCATTGACATCAGGAGCAACGAGATCGGGATCAGGCCCTCCATAGCTTCAAGACGGGCCGAACGCCTGTGATGCTGGCCACAGACGTGGCGGTGCCATGGCTGCCATGGCGTTGGCGCGGCCAGGGTGGGGCTGATCTATTGGACGTTGGGAATCCACTAAACTGTAGCTTCACCTGATTATAATGATAAAGATATGATAGAGATACGAGATATGATATTACAATCCTCATAAGATTATATATATATATATTATATATATATATATATTCCTTTCTATCTATGTCCATATCTCTCTCTCTCTATGTGTGTATATATACATGTATATATATATATCTATACTCACACCGACATATATATATATGTATATATATATGTATATATATATATGTATAAATATATATATGTGTATATATATATATATGTATATATATATATATGTATATATATATATATGTATATATATATATATGTATATATATATATATGTATGTAATATATATATATATGTTATATACACATATAGGTCATCTAATGGGCTCCTCAAATTGGCCTCCAAGGCACGAGGCTTGGACATCAAGGGCGTGAAGTTGGTCCGGGACCCCAGCAGTTTTTTTAGGGAATAATTTTATATCTAAGATATTATCCCATCAATAATATCATTACATGGATTATATTTATGGGACTAATGATATGATTGGATTTACTATATATCAATATCAACAATATCATAGAATATAATATGATGGGATTATTGATCTTATATAATACAATGTCATACAATAAAGTAAAATATAATAGAACAAAATATATTATAATATAATGGCAGATCTTTGATTTGGTGATGTGATATATCTCTGGTAAGTAATGAAACTATATATTACGATTTTTTAGGGAGATGATCATCTATGGCGAGTACTAATGCAATATGTAACCAAGAGTATGATACCCCATGAAATCACATTTATAATCGGAAGAACGCGGTTTTTAAACAAGACATTTTTCGGGGCACACTGGTTAGAAGTCTTGGAACTGCAGCAGCATGGTGTCGTTCTCTGAGGTCGTAAACTACGACGTGGCACCATGTATCTTGGCGGTGATGATGCTGGCGTCACTTTGTGATTTGACTTGAAGGTATCATTAAATTCCACTTCATGTTGTCATTACAGTTGTGTTTCTGTTGCTCACATACCCACTTTCCTGTTGTTACTTAATTTTTCTTCTACAATCCACAACACAATGTTGTCGATATTATCTAAAGTCCGCAACGAATCGATGTTGAAGTCTAAATTTTTCAAAGGATTCCTTGTACTGCTCTATAAACATCAAACTCACGATAGTTCCTAAATTATGGATGATATTCTGTTGAATTCCCTTGAAGTTGATGAAAACTATGACACAACGTTTAACCCAAGCTCTTATCACAACAGAGTTTGCACCTTATTGTTTTCACTTGGACTTATACCGATACCTAACAAGTTGAATTCAAATCCAAGTGTATCCCCTCGATTCATGAGCCTCTCCCATTGAAACATTAAACGCCGTCTAAATTGGAAGTGAGTCATACAGGGAACGTTGGTTAAACAAAAAAACTATATCCACATGATATCATATAGTTACATATGTATATATATACATATATACATATATATATATACATATATGTATACATATATATATACATATGTATGTATATATATATACACATATATATATATGTATGTATATACATATATATATATGTATATACATACATATACATATATGTGCATAATATCCCCTTACATCCCCATGATATTCCCATTGTCCCATTGTTCACTAGGCCCAGACGACCACATCCACCGTATTGGCCGCACGGGCCGCGCCGGTGTGCCCGGCCGGGCAGTGACCTTTTTGGATCACCGGGAAAGCAAGGAAGCACGGGAGGTGGGGATTCCACACGATGGGACGCGCGGGAAGCGCTGAGGGTTTCAATGGTTTTTATGGCTGTTAAAATAATGGAGATGTCACCATTAAAAAAAGGTTGTATAATGGCTTATAATGGGTGTATCATAGATAATAATCTGGATTGATATACAATTTAATGGAGATTTAATGGTGATGAGATTATTCTGGCTATTAAAGGAATGGTGAAGAAGATAGTGAATATTAATGGTGATTATCATGGCTATTTCAATGGTGATTTTTATGGCTGTAAAAATTATGGCTATTAAAAGAATGGAGATTTCAGCATTTAAAAAGAATGGTGCTATAAAGCGTTATAGTCATAATGGGTGTATAATAGATAATCATTTGGATTGATATGGTACAATGGGGCTGATGGTTCAGAATTTGCTGGGGATATGGTTGTATCTGAATCTATATTATACGTATTAATATAGATATGGAACAGGTGATGGTTCACTCTCTCTCTCTCTCTCTCTCTCCCTATCTATTTAAATATATATCCATAGATACAGATTATTAGATGACAGTGGAGCTGCAGCAAAGTAACATAGATATAGAAACCCCATAGTTTCCAAGGAACATAATCCATATCAATTTACGAAATAATGGCAAGTGAAAGAAATATCATGCAGATGACAATGGGAGATATAAGCAACAATTTGATAATTTTGGCTTTGACTCCAGACGAAAAATGTTACCCTCTGGTTATTTAACATAGCCATGGAAAATCCCATCTATAATGGAGGTTTATAGCTTGGAAAATCATCTGTAAATGGGCCATTGTCCATAGCTATGTTAGTCAGAACCAGAGGGTACATTTTTCTTTTCTACACCAAGATGGGATATCAAGTAACAAACACAACGGGGTTTACAGTATATAAAAACCTTCCAGTTAAACAGGTTTACAATCAACAGAGTATTGGACTATCAACTATCACAAAAAACAACAGTGGCTATATTAGATTATCAGATTGATGGTATAGAATGGGACATTGATATCCATACCATCCAATACTGTAGCATCCATATGGGATTCCATATTTTTTTTTAAACCCAATGGGGACCACGACAGGTGATGCGCTCCATGGTAACTTGGCCATGGGATGGCATGGGGGCATGGGGCACTCCTTTCTTCACTGGTGAATCCCCATCTTGGATGGTGAAACAACACCATATTAACCAGATGTGGATGGGTTTTAAATGATTTTTTTGTTTGGATGGTTAAAACACCATGATAGAATATATCTCTGGTTGAAAAAAATGATGTTTTCTGGACTTTATTAACCAGAGGTATATAACCTATCAGTCTTACCATTTATCGTTGGCAAACCCCCAATGAATTCTGTATTTTGGATGGATACAGTAAATCTGTTTGAATCCTCATTACTCATTCTGCAATCGCTAAATTTCCACTGTTTCCTCGCCAAACAAACCGCAACCCCTCTGGTAACATGGCTATGGAAATGACCCGTGAAAGTAGATGATTCACCGTTTTCGATGGTTTTTCATGGCTTTTCCGGGGGGGCTCATGATGACTCATTACCAGTTGGCCGGATCACCAATTATCCCATAGTCATGGTCATGTTATGTGATGTTTTTCCCAAAGAAATATCCCATGGTTGCGGGAAAAAAAATCGGATAAATGGGCTTGCTCCAACTCATAGGTAAATGATAGCCAGTTTCGGGCGGTTACATTATACCCCAGTTATCTATATCCAGTGGTAATGGGGATAGCCCAGTATATGTGTAACCTTTGGTAATCCCATTGTAAGTGGTAATATAAGCCACTTAATTGGATGCAGCCCCAGACAAAGCAGATAAACCAATCCATCGCCTAAGGAGAAAGCAGGCCAGAGGGTCCCTGAGAACTTGCGTGAGCTCGCAGATGCGGGGAACCCGGGACGTGTCTCGGCTTTGACAAGGGAGAAAATGGCGACGTCAGCAAAAATGGTAGTCTTATGTTTAATGGAATATGAATGGGAATATAATGGGATGTAATGGAAGATATAGCCAACTATATATATATACACATGATATTTGGGTTTGTCTGCAAATGTGGGATTTAACCTACAAATTTTCTATTTCAAGAAGGAAACTGATGGTAAACGATCAATTTTTTTTGGGTACCGTATTTTCAGACAGTCCCAAATGAACTAAGTAGAACAAATAGAGAATTAAAAAGAAAACCGTTCTGATGCAAAACTCATCTACACATGGGACTAAATCTGGGCAGATCATACATACATGTGGTAATTGTGTATTGCCAGGTTTAATAATTACTCCAGATGGCAAGTCGTTACCAACCCTGGGTATTGAGTCATCAAGTTTATAAGTGCAGGTTATCCCATTTGCAAGTGGTTTGAAGTTTAATTCTTACTGCAAGTACTTATCAGGTGGTTTACAAGCCATGCATTCTGTGGATATCTTGCTAACTGGATTTCAAGAAGCATGCTTACGAAGCGCTAACTCGGCTGATGCTACTATCAATGGGAATTTCAGGATGCTAAAATGGAGGTACTGTACCATATAAGGCCATATTTTGTGGGGATATTCCCTTACATAGGCCTTACATAGGCCTTATATATGGTAGGTACCTCCAATTTAGGTTCCTGAGATGGCCAGTGATACTAGCCTGGTTTCAAGTCTCCCCTTTTCGTCTTTTTGCTCTGAACATTTCTGCAGAAATGCTGTAAGATCATGTAAGATCCAGCAGGACCAAGTTGCTAGCTAGTCTTTTGGCTTAGCAAAATCACCATGATTCATCCATTGGATCTTCATCTTCTGGCCATTTGGAAATCTGCTCCTTTTCGAGGAAGTTTCAGCCGCTTTGGCAAGGGAGGCGGCGGTGGTGGTAAAGGCAGATGCCTCAGACGAAGTATCAACACAATTTGGTGCCAAAGCTAAATGCCAAGACTCTCGCCGATGATGTTCTACGGTATGTATATATACGTATATATATATGATTATATATATACATACATATGTACATATTATATATATGATTTACATTTCTAGTTTGAACCCACTCTTTTTCTTGCGCTTCCCCACAACTTCGGCCCCTCGCGAAGTCTGGCTCAGCATCTGTTTCTTCCGTGACTCCGGTCCCCCGTCGCGACCGCGAAACGAATTCGCCATGAACCAAAACGGCTCCAGTGGCGAGTCCTTCGGAGAGTCCTTCTGGTCTGAGTCGACACTGGGCCGGGAACTGATTGGTTGGATCAGTCACTGATTTTATGATGTGATTTTTTTTGATTTATCAATGTTCATGAGATCAATATGTTCATCATGGTCGTCAATTTTCGAAAATTGCTCATTGATTCATACTTTTTCCAGATAAATGGATAAACAATCGTTGACAATGAATCCCATCTCCCTTTCATATTTTGGGGAACCCCCAATTCTGTGGTCCCAGTCATATGTGTAAATTCCCATCCCATCCACAATAGTTTATGGGGGGTTGTTTAATATGAACCTGGGATGGTGCTGGGCAACAGTTATCCTGGAAAAAAGCCACACGGCATTCATTTTAGTTCACCAATTTAGGGTGTTTTTTTTGTGGAATGTTTCAGCCAGTTTTTCTTGGGTCCAGGAAGATACAGGCAGACGAGGAATGACTGGAGCCGGAAAGCGACCAAACTCTGGAAATATGTAGAAAGTCTGACTGAGACGAACATTGAAGGTACCTTTGGGTACCAAAAAAAGCTTCAGAATCCCATAGAAATCGTCGGATTCAGCTACCTCGGATTTATGTTTTTTTTTTAAAGTTTGTGTCTCCTTGAAGATATCACCTGAGCGTTAACCAACCCCTGTTGGTTGATGATTAGTTCGGGGGTTATCCTGATATATAGGGGATTATCATGGATTATGCTCTTCTTCACAACGGGAATCATACTGTATCAACCAACATCAACCCAGTAAAAGCTGACCGCCAGTGAATCCCAAGGACCGCCCACACACGTCCTGACCCAGTCTCGAAAGGTGCAGGACCCCTGGAAAGGTTGAGTTTATTTTTTTGGGGATGTTTTAATATAAACCACATTACCCTCTGGTAAACTAACATAACTATGGAAAATCACCATTTTTAATGGGAAAATCCACTATAAATGGTCATTTTCAATAGCTATGTTAAATTACCAGAGAGTAAACATGGCCGTTCTTTTTAGCGGGAAATGATGACGCGCCAATTCGGAAATGGGTTAAGTATTTGGGATTGTCTCTAATTTTATGTGGGCTAACTCCCCAATTCGTGACTATTTTGATGAGGAAGCTGATGATACGCCATGTTTTTCTGGATTGTGGACGAAGTATTCAAGCCTTTTCCATCTAGTACAACCCCCTCGCCCCCAAAGTTCAATGTTAATGTGAACTGAGTGCTTTAGCTCCAATGGACGAAACAATCAAACCCCCAAAGTCACCTTTGCTAACATCCGCATTGAAATATTGAGATTTGGGGGTCAGGGTTCAACACAGAGGGTGTTGCAGGGTTTGAATATTTTGTCCATCTACAGTAGTTTCAGACATAGACACTTACCACAAGTCCACCTTGGTTTTGCCATCTCAAACAAATTGGAGGTTTGAACCCTCTCTTGACAATTGTTGCCGCCTTGCAAATGCTGCCTTGGGCACCGCATGGTCATACAGAAATTGCAAGGTGTGGCCAGTATGGCAAATCATTCTTTTTGGGACTCAACTCTGCTCCCTCTGAAATCGATGTATTCACAGGTCATACGGTCATACGTTCATTTCTGCCTCCGGACCGACCACAGGTGAGAAGAAAAAGGGGAAGGAGCAGGTGCGGTGTCACCGGCCAGGAATTCTTGGGATGGCCAGGAGTTCATGGCTGGTTGCACATCTCCAACGTCTGAAGATGGGGTATACCGTATATACCCCACAGTTAGGGGCAAATTCAATAGGGGAAGTGGTGATCAATCGCCAATGATCTTCTCTTAATGTATTTTCCCTAAATGTTCAAACTGGTTCTGCTATTTTGGTTGGTGATACATCCCATTATATCGCCGTTGTATCCCTAAATCCCCAGCACTTTTCCCATATTTCCCACAATCCGTGTCAGGAAAAAGAAAAGAAAAGGACCTGGGAGCAGACCGTCAAACTCCATCTGCGTCCCTTCGTGCCGCACCGCCACAAGGCAATTTTAAGATGCTTCGGTTGGTTCGCTGCTCATCGTTGGTGAATCTCCCAGATTCATCACATTCGCAAAATCATTTCTGGTTGGTGGTTTGGAACATTTTTATTTTTCCCATCATATTGGGAATTTCATCATCCCAACTGGCGAGTTGTCCATCATTTTTCAGAGGGGTAGGTTAAAACCACCAACCAGATATATAATCATATATAATCATATATCATCATATATAACCATATATAACCATATATAATCCCATTAAACCACCATTAAATCATTAAATCCCATTAGATCACTATTTTCATGGAGATTCACCACCAGACAATGTGAAATGCACAACTTCTGATCCATTTTTCCATCGAAGGCAGACGCACCATGCGAGCGTCGTGTTTGGAAGGAGATCTTCCATCCCCCGGTGGAAGCCTGAGCTAAACTCGCGGCAGCAATTCATATGTTCCAGCTGATGAAAGCTACCAGATGTATGTATATACTGTGTATGTATATATATATATACAGTATATATATATATATATGTATATTATATATGGACCATATGTGAAACCATATTATCAACATTAAAATGCTATTCATATGTGGATATAGGGGGTCATTTTTCACAGTCGGCGTAGTCGGTGGAGTCGGCCATTGAACGAGGCCCAGTCCCATCTGTTTGCAAGGAGGCAAGTCTACCAAGCCTGGTGCAAGGAGCCATCAAATCATCCAAAATCCATGACACACTCTGGTGAAAGCAATGGAAAGTCTGATAGCTTTAGGAAATGGGTTTAGCATGTACTCATGGGTACCTCCCATTTTGGAATAAACCAATTTGGTCAAACTGGTTCAGTCTGATTTGTCTTTCTTTGGATTGATTGGGTTCGCAGCTCATGCTCCCGGAAAATCTTGACATAGGGGTTTCAAGATTGGATATCGCCAAACTTGAAGTGTCGGAACAGCAAATCGCCATTTGGGTTTGTCTGAAAATGGGGTATATACCCCTAATGATCCATTTTTTTTTGGAAACAATGATGATTGGGATGCCATTACCCACTTTTTGTGGGACAACTTGATGATTGATGCGGGTAAAACAGTAATAAACCACCCATGACTGGGAATGGTAAACATACCACCTATTTTTGTTTTACCACATAAATAAGTAAAGTATAGCATTATATTGATTATTAATATAGGTACCTATTATTATTTTTCCACATTACCCATCAAAGTATTGACATTGCGTGACTATTTGATTACTATTGTTACTGATTATATTATTGATTATATTATTATTTAGGTACATATCACCTTGTTATTATTGATTATTATATTATTACATCCATGACATTTGCGTGTTTGGTTCCAGGAGATTGAGGATGCGAAGCCGCGCGATGATCCGAGCAAAATCGTGGTGAAGGCCGACCTGGTGTGATCTGGGTCTGGTACCAATGGGGTGTACACCCAAATGGCCTTCTTAATAAGTCTTAATATGTACATACTGTATATATATATACACATACATACATATGTATGTAGATTATGCATATGTATGTATATATATAATATGTAATATATATATATTTATGTATATACACTTACATACATACATATGAATGTAGATTATGCATATATATATATATATGTATATATATATAATAAATGTATATATAATATATGTAATATATATTTATATACACATACATACATATGTATGTATATTATGCATATGTATGTATATATATAATATGTAATATATATATATATGTATACACATACATACATATGTATGTAGATTATACACATGTATGTATATATATAATATGTAATATATATATATATAATATGTAATATATATATAATATGTAATATATATAATATGTAATATATATATAATATGTATATACACATACATACATATGTATGTAGATTATGCATATGTATGTATATATATAATATGTAATATATATATATGTATATACACGTACATACATATGTATGTAGATTATGCATATGTATGTATATACATATTTTATATATATAATATGTATATATATATATTTAACATATGTATATATATAATATGTATATATATATAATATGTATATATATGTATATATATATACGATCAGGCCGCCTGGTTCGCCGTCGGCTGGAAAGGCATTTTTCTCAGGGCAGCCAAGGTAGTTTGGTCTCATTGTAACATTCGGCAGGTGTTGTTCGCACTGTTCCTGTTGAACAGGCCTGCCGATACTCTTTGATCGCCGTCAGCACTGTTTTCAGCCCTGCCTGGCGGTGAAGCGCCGCTGCTGCCAAGACCTGTACATTGGCAGCTTTGCCTTTCTTTCGATAACGTAGCATTTCCACCCTGAAAACAAAGCGATAACGTAGCATTTCCAACCTGATAACAAAGCGATAACGTAGCATTTACACCCTGAAAACAAAACGATAACGTAACATTTCCACCCTGAAAACAAAGCGATAACGTAGCATTTCCACCCTGAAAACAATACAATAACGTAGCATTTCCACTCTGAAAACAAAGCGATAACGTAGCATTTCCACCCTGAAAACAAAGCGATAACGTAACATTTCCACCCTGAAAACAGAGCGATAACGTCATGTTTGCAGCCAACAAAACGCGCGCGACAGGACGTTATTACACCCCTCCCCCCACCCCACCCCCCCCCAAACTCCCCCCCTGCCCCACCCACCCCACCCCCCCCCCCAACCCCTCCCCCCACCCCACCCCCCACCCGAAGACAAAATAGATGCATGTCAAGCGACGGCGAACCAGGCGGCCTGAGGGTATATATAAAATGTATATATATATAATATGTATATACATATATATATATATATAATATGTATATATATATATAATATGTATATATATATATAATATGTATATATATATAATATGTATATATATATAATATGTATATATATATATAATATGTATATATATATAATATATATATATAATATAATTACATAATATGTATATATATATATATATATGTATATATATATATGTATATATATATACATGTTATTGGAATATTGATGATTTACCATGGGATTTAAGGGGACACTATTTTCAGGCAAACCCAAATCTCTTTATTTTCCGTCTCGACAATTGTGACGATTCCCAATATCGACCGATCTTTGAAAAGGGATCCCCAGATAGGTCCAGTTACAAAATAGAAGTGGCAAAATCCATGTGGTCTTGAAATGCTTCACCATGTAAAGTGCAAAGCGCAGCCTGTTTCAAATTGCGGTTGAATGCAAGGTAGCTCCAAGCTTCACCCAGTTCAGCTCACGCCTGTCACCTCCACTGCTGTCAGATTTCTCCCACGCTCGACATCATTGACACCATGAATGTGCCGCGTGAAACTGTGCCGATCCACATCAAGCGGCGTTTCGTGCCTATGGCAACTTGACAGGGCTTTTACTAACTTGGAGGATTTGAAACACACCTTGGAGAATAGTTATCATAGTTTGCCTAGATCTTGCAGATACGAATACGGCTGGTGGTTGCATTGATTTGAGATGCGGCAATGCAAAATGGTGCCAAGATATGGCTGTTTCAGCTCAAAAACCATCTTGTCAGCATCGGGATATTTTTTCTAGGGCTTCATGGCTTAACTGATAATTTGGGTGAAGCCATGTCCACAACTCTTGTTTTTACCATTCCTGGAGCTGTGCCGAGGCACGTGTCTATGCTGATGATGATTGGCCACTCACTGAACAGGCGAGGCATGGAACAGCCCGCTGAAAAAGCATTGGAATAATTATCATGGAAGATATGCATATCAATATTATATTATATATATAATTATATATATATATGTATTAGAAGTATACATGTTCATATTACCAACACCCATATGCACATGTACACATTATGTACATATCATGTACAGGTTATGTACATATTCTGTACATATTATTATGTACATATTATGTATAATATATGTATATAATGTACATATATACAGATGTATATATATATATAATTATATATAATACACAGCATTTCAACTCCCAATGAAGAACCCGTCCGGGGTCCGAAATTCGGGTGGTTCCGCCAGTTCTGCCAGTTCCACCTTGTGCCAAGGCGAAGGGATGCGTCAAGGGAGTGGGAAGGATGTTGCGCAACCTTGCGGAGACTTGCTGATTTCCACGCGTTCCACGCGACCGGAAATTCGTGTTCCCCATTGTAATGACTGGGTGAAAACGGTGAAAATAAGTGACAGTTTGTTGGCTATTTGTGTTGCCATTTGTTGCCGTCAATACCGTTTTCTTCAAAACGAACTTGCTTAAAGTATCTAAAAAAATACGGGGCATCCATCAGATTGATCAAACAGATTACTCAACCCATATTTTGGCGAATGGTTCGAAAGAATGAGCAGGTGGCCAGGTCTATTTTTATTTAGCTATCTTTTCGGAGATTCGGAGATGGTGTTTGTGCTTTTTCTGTTTCTTTCAAAACCAGCCATGGAGAGCAACTATCCTTTTTCCAAAGACTAGCCTTTACTTTCTCCCTGTTTTTTCCATACTTTTTCGGAACATTCCAGAACCGCTTTTTTTGTGTTTCCTTTCCCTTTAGTTCCAACAGCCAAGGACAACCTGATGGATTTCAAGCACACCAAGGTCACCGGTAGCGACAAGTTGCTGCTGGACCATGTCCGACGTTCCTGCGGATCCTGGAGGGCCCAGCGGACCTGGTCCGACGTGGCCGCAGAGGCGGCCAGCGATGCCCTAGCGCGAACCATGGATGCCATGGCCATGGCACGGCGCTAGGTCTGATGTGGGAGTTCCTCGGGTAATCCCGCAGGAAAGTGAAGATAGCAAAAGATAGCTGGGTAAATCGATGGTTTGAAAAAAACATGTTTTCGAAATACGAGAATTTACCCAGAGAAAAGCATAGATCCGTTTGGTCAGATCCGCTTTGAAACCACGTGGTCGCCTGCTGCAATCATGGACATCAAATTTATTCGAAGTCAGGTGGCCTGATTTGACCAAGCACGTTGCTTGACATGAAGTTGTTGTGGTTCTGACAGAGTTTGCGGAAACGCGCCATCCCAATTTCAGGGTGATCCGAAATCTGCATCAAGCCGGTGCAATGACTGCAAACTCTGAGTCGGAAGACCACTTTTATGTTTGACGTGTCCCAAAATCGACGTCTTCCCCCAAAAAGATAGTTTGACTTTCAAAGCCATCCTATATTTTTTCGCAAACAAACATATCTTTAAACATATTGTTTTCGATTTGTTTCGAAAGATGATTGGCATTTTAAATCTTGGGACACTGCAATGACACTGCCCAGTGTTTGAAGTTTTCCAGAGGACGACTGCAAAGGCAACTGCATGGACATGCCACCAGAGACGACACTTTGAGGTTCGCTTGGTGTGCGGGCGCAATCCGTGGATTGTGACACTGGTCCAACCCCTTTCAGCACCCCACCAAAAAACTGTTGCAGCTGTGCGCCGCGCCTGCACCCAGATATTTTGAGGTTGCGGATGATGCTGCAATTTATCATACCCCCACAGTAATCAAGCATTGCAATTGAATTGAACATCCCCTACAAATGGAGGTTTTAATTAGAAAATCCCGTGTAATTATAAATGGTGGGTTTTCCATTGTCGTGTTTGATTACCAGACGGTTTTCAAGCTCTCCCCACTTGTGATCTATCAGTCTATCAAAGTCTATCAACCTTATCACCGTTTCTGACCAGCTTTGTTTGCAAGAAACCATATCGGATGTTCAAGAAATATGATCAAACTTCAACGAACATTCCATGAAACTTGCATTGATGGCAGAATTTTTGCAGATGAAGCTTCGCTCAAGTCATATGGAGCCAAAAGACCAAGGTCGCAAGGGCTCCGGAAAAGGGAGGTGCGACAGCGTTGGGATTCGGAGTTCGGAGTCAGTCATTGGGAGATGGGCCTTTTTCCCCACATCTTTGTATGGGCTTCTGACTCTTCTTCGTTCGTGCTTCTTGTTTTTCGTTCTCGCCATTCACACAGATGTTGTCTCTTGGAGAGCGCATTCTTGCAGGCAGGGAGGTTTCGGAGGACGTGACAGGCGGCGCGAGCCAAAAAATGAGGGGAATGGTTTGGACAGTTTGGACCTGTAAGGCTGGTTGTTTTTGAGGACCGTTGCAACGATCCCCCTTTGGGTTCCAGAATTTTGAGTCATGGATGGTCTCCATAATCCATTACCCATCATCATTTTTAATGGGTCAATCCACTATTTCTATGGCACTTTTCAAGTTCGCAAACTGTTATAGGGAAGAAAAACCACCACCCATTGAAAGGATTTCCGGTGTGGGATGATAACCATACTTTTTGGAAGCCCCAAAAAGGGATACCCCAAGATCCAATGGTTTAAAACGACTCATTTTCCAGGCCATGATGCAAATCCAATGGGGGATACCCCGATACCCCCCCACATTACGCTTTGAATCAGAAAAACGATGTTTCAAACCATTGAATCACCATTTATTATTGGTTCCAAGCTTGAGCCCCCTTGTCTTAAAACGGCTCAATTTTCACTATTGAAATCATACTTTTGTTAGTTAATTGTTATGATTTTAATTAATTACTCATGATTATTGCTGGATAATTCATCACACTAGTTATCATTGTTCGATATAACTATCAAGATCTATCAAGTATTGTTAGATGGGACCCCAGATAATAATTGATATGTTGAATGACTGTTAAATATATCATTGTTTATTAGGCTAATTATTGTTGGATATGGCATACGATCTAGTTGAACTAATTTAATATTCATTTTCAATAGAATATGATGTTACAATGTTACCCACTATATTAGTTATTACCATAATATAACTGTTGGATATGACCCTCCAACAATAGTTTTTTTCGTTTCCCCCACAAAGCCCACCCACTTGGTGGCAGGGATCCGGATCGCTGGTGACGTGTCAGGCCAGCCCGGGGGCAATCCCGAAAAAAACCGTTGCGCGACCGGATTTGGTTTTGTTTGGTACCCTCTGGTAATTTAACATAGCTATTGACAATGGCCCTTTATAGTGGATTTTCCCATTAAAAATGGTGATTTTCCATTGCTATGTTAGTTTACCAGAGGGTATGGGGTTTTATGGTAATTAAACTATAATGGTTTATGGATGTTTATGGCAATTAGATGGTTGATACATGGTTCATTGAACTGGGGTTATGGGTTAATACTTAGAAGGTGGATTCAAACTCCAAGAACTGGGGTTTTATGGTAATTGGGAACACATAGTTCATAGGGTGAAACTTTTTACCAAGACCTTAGGGGCCTCACCGTGTATGGCACAGCCAAATCATCCCAAATGAACCATGAAAACTACGGCGAGACATGGGGAATTATGATAAACCATAGATAGGATACATCGGATAGACATTTACAAACCACTGCTCATGGGGATGGACGATTTATGTGGATCCCTAGTTGTTTTGCGAGGCAATTCTTCGGATTTGGACATCACACAGATGCTCAAACTGCTGTGCAATTCTAGTGTGGGGATGTTCTTCTACCATTGGCCCGCGAAACATAGTGATTCCTTAGTTTTTTTAAGAAAAAAACAGGTCAGTTAGGGCCGGGAAACATCCAACGTTTTTTCAGGACAGCATCGGCATGCAGATGGCCCTTATCAAAAATGATGTTGCCAGCTTAGTTTTCATCACCTGGACGGAGGCATGCCCTGTGCCCTTATCCCTGGTTGACATGGGGAAGTCCACTATTTAACAAGCAACAACATGTATACTGTATAAAGTTATACATATTATATATATACAGTGTAGATAGATACATTTATAAGATTTATATTCGTATGTCTATGTCATACCTGGTGTAACAAACCAACTCATATTTTTCATGAAAGGACGTCTATGTTTCGGATGGTTTAATCGTGTGAAGTGGCTGAGGTAAGTGGGCCAGTGACGTGCAACCTGCCGAACTCTGCTGCAGCTAATGGTGAGAGTTGCCATGATGCGAACATGAAGATGTCTTTATGGTTGATTCCTAAATTTCCATGATTTATGTCGATCATAATCTGCAAACCCTATGTAAAGCCAGCATTTTCATGAATCACAGCTCATTTTACAACTTGGATCTATTTGGAGAGTCCACAATAAACCTTTAAGAATTGGGGTTGATTCTGAGCTTTACCACGACAATCCTGGAACCAGACCCCGCCTGGGATGAAAAGCATGGCATCGCATCTTCCAATTGCTGACCGCTTCGCGACCTGTGCATACCTCATGGATCCTTGAGCCGGCCCTTTTTGTGTTTTTTTTCATGAAGCAAACTGGGAAATCCACAGGAAAATATGGTTCATTAATGGGATATTTGGAGATGAGTGGTGATATAATGGTGATTTTTGGCTGGGATCTGGCTTTTGGAATTTGGTTGGAACATCTGGTAGAACTTCAATTCTGCTGGGAGATGTCTGTGGAATGCAGGGTGCTTTTCCAGCATGGCATCACTTGCGACCGAAGGACCGAACTCAAGGATCCATAAAATCCCAGTCTCACCACCGCCTAAAGTGCGGTTTTACCCAGTTTACCCCCAGCCCACGCCATTTGAGAGGCACCTGTTGAGCAAACGCCAAGCACAAGGGTGGCGCCATGACAGTGGGAAGACAAGTGGGCCCCAAAATCGACGACACCTCAAATCTGGATGTTGATTGTCATTTTGGCCATCAAGGTCGCAATTTTGGTGCGCCCATTTTCTGGACCCAAATACAGCCATGCCGTGGAACACCCAAAATAGCTTGTGAATGCGAGTCCAAAACCATGGGGACAGATACAGCCGCAGCACTGGAGGTTTCAAGCTCGGATGTGATAATCCCAACTGTTTGTTCTCGGTGTTTCTAAGGGGTTGAAACCAACTGCTGGTACGTGTCATGCTTCATTCCTGCATGAACAAACTCCGCTTCTCCAAGGGATTCTCCCACTCAAATTGTACACAAAATTGAAAGGCCACGAATAATCAAGACCCCAAGCTGCCATTGGATTAGCAGCTGTCAAGTAACTCCCTTCCCCCACTTTTTCAAAAGCTTAAGCGGTTTTGGATACTTAAAGATCTCAGATGTTGATTCAGGGTCCCCCCCAAAAAGATCGGAAAGTCTGTAAAATAACCATAAACATAGATAAACATAGATAAACATAGATAAACATAGATAAACATAGATAAACATAGATAAACATAGATCATCATCAAAACAAGTGGGCTTTCTCACTTCAAAAATCTCATGGCGTGGGATAGAATAAATCCGTGCAGGGCGAGCCAAAGTGCTCCCTTTTCCGCGACGGGTGAAACCGGGCACCGGGGTCTGACCCAGTTCGCAGTTTTTACATGTTTTAACCGTTCCGGTGGACAGTGTCACTCCCAAAATGGACATTTTTAGTAGGAAAAACCATGACTAACAGGTACATTGAGCGGTTTCCTCCCAAATTTTCAGACAGACCCATACTTACCCAACATTGTTAGGTGATTATTGGCAACTGGCAATGATTAATAACGCCGAAGAAATATTGGATGCGCATCCAAGTTGGTAACTGGACGATAACCCTGTGTATTGTATAGCTGAGCATTTTCCATAACTTGGGTGAAATCTGGTTATGTCAACCCCATCACACTATATCACGCTGGCTTGCACTGGCTTGCATATCTAAGCATAGATGCCACTATTTACATTGTGGGCGCAGCTCACATGGACCTCACAAAATTACCATGCTTAGGGAGCGGAAAAATGACAAGTTGCCCAGATTTTTGAGTTGAACCCAACTGACGTTAAGTGTTCAGGTTTCAAATCTTGAACTATGCCATGTATTCCCCGCAAGGTATTTTAAAAGTTTCTGACCCTTTCAACCTCCCTGGTTCCATAGAACTTCAAAGCTCTGGAAAATTGGTGTCGAGCCGGCCTGTGAGAGCCGACTGGGGGAGTCCGTGTGTCAGCGCTTTTTCCAGTCTGCAGTAGGCAGTTGTATTTCAAAGGCAAAAAAGCTCCGCTTTTTCTGGCGCTCGAGCGTCCTTTCACTGTGTTCATCAGGGGGTTCTGATCCGGCTCCAGTAGTCTTGTCATGTCTTGTCCACCACAGCAATGTGCAAACGTGCTTACTCCTTTGACTCAGTTTATGGCAGTAGAGTTCTTCAGCGCCTGACACATTTCCGGGGAGCCCTTAGTTGCTGCACGGGTCCAGGGGCTCAAGTGTTGGGATGTTGCCCCAGATCACTTTTGGAAGCTCTGAAGCATCTAGCCAAAGTCTCCACGTTTGGTTGTCACTTGATGACGAAAACATACGAAAACTATTCTTTCACATCATCAGCAAAATCAGCGATGACAACATCTCACCAGTATTGTTTCATACGCGTGGCACAACCAACCACTCATCTCAGGGACGTGTCGCGGCCAGTGGCAGCATGGAGTGGATTGAGGTCGGTGCCCTTCGCCTCACTTTGTTGGGGAAGAAGCAGCAAGAGTTGGCCAAGAAAAAAGAGATGATGGAAACAGGAACACGACGCCTTCAAAGCGATTCCGAAGGCTCTGAGACAGACAGTGAAGCTGACCAAGCTTGCTGCAAAGGGGCTGAAGTCCGCCGGAAGGCAATGCGAGAAGCAATGCTAGGGCAGAAGAGAAAGAATTCCAAGGCTAGAACTGTGCAGCCAAAAAGTGCACAAGTGCGCCCCACTGCAACGGTCTTGGGAAATCCTCCCCTCCATGAGATACCGACTGCTCACCCCATGGATGCCGGGGATGCTTCAGCTCAAAATCGCGTGGTTCTTACTCCACGTGAAGATGAGGAAGCTACTCTTGCTCCAAGCTCAAGCAGGCCTGGAAGAGCTCAGGGAGAAGCTGCTGATGGCCCTCAAAAGAAGCGAAAACAGGAGCCCCTGCCAGAAGCCAAAGATGCCAAAGTCCAGTGGGAATTCTCGCGGAAAGTGTCAAGATTTTTGGAATCAATTCAGCAGAGTCGCAGTAGTCGCAGTAATCAAGAAGTCAAAGTGGAGGCAACCGACTCTCTAAGTTCTACGGGCAAGACAGGCACTGCTAATTCAACTTGTGACCCTGAGTTGACCACTGCGCAGCTTCCAAGGATGGATACTGCTGAGGATCTCCAGGCTAATCGGACTGCAGCCTCCAGAGAACTTGCGGACAAACAACTCCGAATGTTGTTTGAGCTGAGGACAAGAAATTTGGAGACAAAACTGGCCGATGAGCAAGAAAAGCGCGAGGCCGCTGAGAAAAAGTGCACAGCTTTGCAAGAGCAGGTGGAGACATTGTCGGGGAAAGTTTCTGAGTTGGAAGCGCAGTTGCAGATGCAGAAGACTGTTTCTGGACTGAGCCCTGGTGTAACATGGCAATACGAAGTAGATGACCGTTGGGAAGCGTTTGCACCTGAGGCAAATGAACATATGAACCAAGCATACCTCAAGTACGTTAGAGGGATTCCTGACAGCCGATATGCCACCATCAATTCAGGTGGAGTGGCCCGGTTGGTGGATTTTGAAGAGAGGCAGCAGAAACACCTAAGGACTGGAAAGACTCGCCAAATCCGCATCTTACCTGGGGTGCCTTCCCAGTGGGAGACACCAACACCAGAGTTGCTTCAGCAAGGGAACGATTTGCGATCCTTCTACAT